ATCCATACACAATTTTGCGGCCCTTGTCTTGCGCTAATAAATATTTGCTTTTGTTATATCATCCAATAACGGATATAAACGTAAAAGGTTGACTATATGTAATTCATGCAATCATATATCTACACAACGAAGGAGCAGGAGAAAAAGCGGGGGAGAGGGAACCTGATTATAATCTTGAAAAGAAGTTGTCAAAATGCGAAGGGGAAGCGAGTGAGTAAATATTAAAGAAGCAGCGAGCGAGTAGATATTAAAGATCTCTTTCAATTTCAAAATTACCACAATGGGGATGAGAGGAACTAAGTAAGGAGATCGACTTGTGTAGTAAAAATAAAAATTGTCTGTAAACAAACATCATTAGAATTAAAACAAAATACCTTGCAAGAATGAACTCTATACTATGGTCTTGCTATAGTGCTACGCAGACAGCAATGTATAGAATTATTTGTTGTCTTTTAGGTTTATCTTCTTGTTTTGCTGTTGTCTCTCTTTCCTCCTCTCAGCGCTTTCTTTCCCGTTGTGAGAAGACAAACGTTGTAAGACATAAGGCAATTTTGAGGTTAATCAAGCGTTGCCTTTTCCTTTTTGTTGAAGCGTTACCTTTCAAATCATGCGTTAGTTTTTTCTTCTTTTCAAATTAGTTTGTTGAAGCTTTACCTTTCAAATCATGCGCTAGTTTTTTCTTGCTTTCAAATTAGGGTTTAGATTTTTAAAAGGGGTAAATCAGTAATTTAACTTTTAACTTTAGGGCTTCATGCTTTTANTATCAATTATATAAAAACAAAAAATCAGGGGTGGAGGAAAGAGATTAAGATTTTTACCATTTCACAATCCAAGTGCCCGAGAAAGTGGTGGGACGTCAAAACGGCATCGATGTGAACTACGAGCACGCTTTCTAATTGGCGAATCATGATAGTGAATTCCGGCAATCCAGTGGTTAGTCACGACATCACCAACGATAAATCGTTCTTCGATTCACGAGATAGACCAAGGAAAAGGATTAATGGTGGTGATTATGGTGGTGCACGGGCAGTGGTAGTTTCAAATGGTCGCCAGAGTTTGACCGAATTTTTATCAAGGGCGTTTGGTCGTGAATTAAGAAATATGGATAGATCTCAATGATGTGAGAATTGAGGAGTGGGGATGGCCGGAGTTCTTCGAATTTGAAGAAAGAGGGGCGGCTAAGGTTTCGGTCAAACTAGATTTAGGGAAATTTGTGTGGATTTGGGGATTTTAGGGCTTGGATTCGGGTTGGGGATGAAGAGAGAAGAAGAATGGTGTAGGATTGAGTGTGTTTGGTCACCGGTGGAGGGCGCGGACTTTGCGTAAATGGCCAAAAATCTGAATTTTTTGGCCTTTTATTTGGAAGAGGATGGAAGGGGATGAAACTACGTCGTTTGGAGCCTCGGTGGCAGCCCTTCAATTGGCCTTGATATTACATTCTTGGCCACTCTCTCTTTCAAATTTGGCCTAATTTCTTCCCTATCCCCTTTATATAAACTATTCAAATTATAACCCTATTTAATCTATCAAACTACATAAGTACAAATTTAATTATAAATCATCTAACCAATTAATCAATTGATTTAATTAATTGATCAAATAATTATACACAAAAAACACACAAACAAATAAGGAAAATATTTTGGTATTTTTTATTTTTATTTAAAAATATAAAAATTCGGCATTTATAGCTGCCCCTCTTTGCTCGAGAATACGAAGAGTGAGTTAAACTAAAAATCAATCCAAAAGAGTGAGAAAGGACAGTCCTTTTTCACCAAAAACAGCAGAAGCATGGGAAAGAGTACTTCCCAGCCAACTCAAAACAGTAGAAACTACTATGTACCATACTCCAACATTCACCTCCTACTGCCCTTCACACAATAAAGCAAACTATCCTACTGCCTCAAACTAATCCAAAATACTAAAATCAGATAAGTAAAACTTTCGCCAATTAACAAGCATGAATAATAGGAACTCAACAATTAAAGCCAAGTTTTGGTCTCGAGTTAAACTAAAAATCTGCCCAAAAGGGTGAGAAAGGACTGTCCTTTCTCACCAAAAACAGCAGAAACATGGGAAAGAGTACTTCCCAACCAACTCAAAACAGTAGAAACTACTAACTATGTACCATACTCCATCATTTATCTCCTACTGCCCTTCACGCAATAAAGCAAACTATATACTGCCTCAAACTAATCCAAAATACTAAAATCAGATAAGTAAAACTTTCACCAATTAATAAACATGAATAATAAGAACTAAACAATTAAAGCCAAGTTTAACACGTATTAAATAATGAAGCAATTAACAGAATTGATTAACTTAAACAAAGACAAAATCAGAAACTACACCGAACATGAATTAGACGATCATTAACAGAACTTAAACCTAAATAAAAAATCTAAATCAATTACATAAAAACAAAAAATTAGGGGCGGAGGAAAGGGATTAAGATTTTTACCATTTCATAATCCAAGTGCCTGAAACAATGGTGGGACGTCAAAACGGGAGCGATGTGAACTTCGAGCACGATTTCTAATTGGTTAGGGGTGCTTATCGAACGGATCGGGTGTGTAATTACGCTTAACGGTTCGGCTTATCGGTTATCAAATTATAAATGTAGTAATCCGCTAGCCATCCAATAAGACAACGGGCGGATTGGTATTGGATTAACAATTATTGAGCGGTTTATCAGCTAAACTAAATAGAAATTTTTTGAACAATCATTCAATCAAATACCAAACGGTTCAATATAATGCCAAATTTTTAATACCATCTAAGATCTAAAAGTATTTTTGAATTGAAGAGTTTTCTTCCGAGTTCCAATCTAGTTCAAGACTACTCATACACGTATGAATCGATCAAACTTTCAGTAACATTCATTCTTCACAAGAAATCCAGATTGTAAAATCAAAAATCCAGAAAATCAGACTTTAATTTGTTAGATGCATGCAAGAAAGGACAAAAGCTCATACAATCTAGCTATTACGGATAAAACCAGCAGACAATTTAACAAATTACTTCCAATTTTGGACTACAATATGATTACTTCCAGTTTATTGCACTATACAAAATCCATATGAGCCTCCTAAACATGAAGAAAACTAGTGTAATATAAAAATTCTTAACGGGTTAACGGTTTACCCGATAAGAAAATTGAGAAATACGCCCCCAAATCGTTAAGCCGTTAATTATAAAATCTCAATTCGTTCACCATCCATTACCCCGATAATCCGATACCAATAAGTCAATAATCCATCGGTTCGGTTAACGGTTTCGGTTTGATTTTGAACAATCCTATAATTGGTGAATCGTGACAGTAAATTCCGGCGAGCCAGTAGTTAGTCACGACATGACCAACAAGAAATCGTGCTTTGATTCAAGAGATAGACCAAGGCAGAGGATCAATGATGGTGATTTTGGTGGTGCGCGGGCAGTGGTAGTTTCAAATGGTCGCCGGAGTTTGACCGGATTTTTATCAGCAACGTTGGTCGTGAAACTAAGAGATCTATCCAATGATGTGAGAATTGAGGGGTGGGGATGGCCGGAGTTCTTTGAATTTTAAGAAAGAGAGGCAGCTAGGGTTTCAGTCAAACTAGATTTAGAGGAAATTGGTATGGATTTGGGGATTTTGGGGCTTGGATTCAGGTTGGGGATAAAGAGAGGAGAAGAATGGAGTAGGATTGAGTGCGTTTGGTCAACAGTGGAGGGCGGCGGGCGGCGGTGCCGCCATGGAGAAGGGGTGGCAGCGGCAAAAGGGTTAGAGAGAGAGAGGGCAAAGAAGAGGGGTCTCTAGGGTTTGGATAAATGGCCAAAAATCTGAATTTTTTGGCTTTTTATTTGGAAGGGGAGATGAAATGAGGTCCGTTTGATTGAGCAAGATCAGAGGGTCCAGATTTAATTGTAATCCACTAAGCAAAACAACGTAGTTTAGTAATGAAAACGTTGTTTGGATCCTCTCTGCCAGCCCCTCAATTGGCCTTGATATTGCATTCTTGGCCACTATCTCTTTCAAATTTGACCCAATTTCTTCCATATCCCCTTATATTTAAACCATTCAAATTATAACCCTATTTAATCTATCAAACTACATAAGTACAAATTTAATTATAAATCATCTAACCAATTAATCAATTGATTTAATTAATTGATTAAAAATTAGACACAAAAAATACACAAACAAATAAGGAAAATATTTTGGTTTTTCTTTTTTTATTTAAAACTGCAAAAAAAAAAATGGCATTTACAGTATATATTCTTTCCAATATTTTAGGGGCAATTTTGACCAGAAGAGGAGTCCCCTGGTAGTTTCAAGAAGGTACTTGCATTTTCTTTCTATCACCCCATTTAGTTATGGAATGTAAGGATAGGTTTTTCTGATAGATTATGCCTTTGGACTAGAAAAACAAGGTAGCTTCTGTACTATTGAACTCTAGACCATCATCAGACCTTATGATTTTAATGGATGTTTGAAATTGTGTTTGAATTAGAGAAACAAAGACTTTGATAACCTGGAGAGCATTACTCTTGCAACACAAGAGATGAGTCCATGTAGACCTACTAAAATCTTCTACTAAAGTAAGAAAGTATCTCTGGTTAGCATGTATTGGGACATGATAGGGACCCCACAAATCCACATAAAAGATGTCAAATATTTTATTTGAAGTACTGGACCTTTGGGGAAATGGTAATCTGGACTGCCAGGTCATAGGCAAATAAGACAAAGAAAAGACTATTTTGGAGAAAAAGTGGATGTGATAGAAGAGATACGTCTTTAAGAGTCCAGAACCTAAATGTGGTATTTTTGCCAAGTAGAACGGAAATAAGTGTACAAAAAAAAGAGTGACTTATCTATGTATAAGTATAACGTTCTTTTAAAGAGCGCTATACATTAACATTCCGTAAGTCATTCAAAGACTTATCGCCTTGCAAGTAGAGCTGCCACAACACATCAACATTATTTCCATGAGATATAGAAGAGAATGAAAATGAATCGGAAGAATGTAAATTGACTGTGTCTTATTGCAATGAAATTATTTACAATTGGAAGTATTTGACACTATGAAATATTTACATCACAATCAGAAGATGAAGTGCAAGTAACAGAAACATTAGGAACTAATATTGGACTCGTATTTGCTAAACAGTGAGAACAAAGAAGATACAGACTACTTCTGATCTTACCAATCTCTAGAGACCTATTTATTAAAGGGACCTAAGGGACCTGCAGTAGACATGAAGAAGCAGTAAAGGCAATTAGGAAACTGAGATGTGCAGTCGTGGAGAAGACAGAGATAAGATTGAATTCGAAGGCAAGAACAAAAAGAATTTTATGCAAAGTAATTTGTGATGCAAGTATAACATTACCAATTTCTATCACTTTTAGCTCTATAGCCGTTAGGAAGTGCAATAAGCAAAGGATAAGACAAAAGTATAGCTTCAGAGAAAAGAGATTTACTGTAGGTCATATGGTGTGAAGCACAAGAATCCAAAATCCACGTGTCATATATAGTTTTGATACATTTACAAGAAAATTTGCCATAATCAATAGAAGACCAAGCTATTATACCTGCAAAATTAGCAGCTCTACTTGCAAGGCGAGTGTTTGAGCTCTCTCCTCCATTGTTGTTGTGAAGGTGTTGGAGCAGATTCTCCAATTGACCATATTGCTCTTTTGTGATGCCAATAGTTGCTACGTTGTGAGTATCGTCCTGTGAAACTGATTCATCTCCCTTAATGAATAGCTCTTCAGTAGGTGCAGCATGTGCATTAGCCATAGTATGCTTGCCTTTGTTGAATTTGAAGGACTGATTTGGATTAGAGTTCTGAGGGTAATCGTGCAACTTGTAACATTTGTCTTAGTATGTCCCAAACGCTTGCAGTAGCCTGTTTACAGTAGAATAACCATTAGCAGAATAGTTTGTCCATAAATTGGTATTTCCTTGTGCATTAATTAACATAAAGAAAAGTAGACTCAAGGATAAGCTAATTAGAAGGCCACATCTCTCTTTGTTTCTGTCCTGAATAAGCAGAGAAAAAGCTTGTGCTAATGAAGGAATGTAGTTCATCATGAGGATACTTCTTCGCACCACTGTGTAAACTTCATTTAGCCCCATGAGAAACTGGATTAAATGTTTGCCTTGTTGGCCTTGTATAACTTCTCCTTGGTACCGCAAATACAGTGACAGTTACACTGTGATTTCATGCTCAGATTATTCAACTCTTCCCAAAGTTTGTTCATTTTAGTGTAGCAACTCATGATGTCAAGGGCTCCTAGGTCAAATCTTTTATTTCGTTTTGAACTTGATACAACCTAGCACCATTGGTCTATTCGTAGCAAACCTCCGATTCTAACCACAACTCAACGACATCGTTTGCATACTCCACACTATTTGCGATGACCTTCAAAAGTGAGTTCAAAATTCACGATGTTACCATATCATCGCATCTTACCCACTAATGATAATTAGGTGTTTAAGAATCTGGCCATATACATTCTCCGCTGATGAACCCTAACTTGCTTCTAAGCGCACATCACACTGCAACCAATTCCATTGGAAGGAACATAAACTAACATAGCACCGGGAATATCAGATAGATGAAGGTAAAGAGGACTGCTGATGTCACCGTTGGCGCTTGTATCTACACTAGTTGTCGCACAGATGCCTACATGTGCATCAACGCTAGGTGCTTTGTTCTGATCCAGAATAGCCATACTAAAGTCTCAATGAAATCGAACGAGAAAATGCAATCAATTTGAGAAGAGGAAAATAGAAATCGAACACAAATTTGTGCGATCTCAATCGGAATTAGGGCAAAATTGAAAGGTCGAAGAAATTAGGGAAAAATTGAAGATGTGAAGAGGAAATCGATAAACATCTAAAAATGAGAAGATTGCAAGCTCATGTGCTCTGATACCAAGATGCTGCAATAGAGATGAATCAAGTTCAGAATGAGCAACAATGAAGCACTATAGAGATTCACATGAGAGGAGTTGAAGGAGAGAGAATTCGGGAAATGAATTAACTGCTTATAATAGAGTTGTACAACAACATATATACACGCATGTATCATGTACAAAGAATACCCTAATGTTGACTAATTATTGACTGCCAGCGAAGTTGCAGCTAATCATCCTAGCTAACTGAATTGTAACTAATCTGATTGCGAAGATTCTCAATAATTCTGATAGTACATTGCCTGATCCTTTATCTCAAGACGAAGAACTGTGAATAGAGGGCATAGGCAAATCCAGCATTTGAAGTTTATGAGTTCCTACAACGACCTCAAGTTAATACTACAACAATTACTGAATTCACAGTCAAATATTTATAGATATTTAGTAGATTTCCTATTAGACATACAAGATATAGGCAAGAGTTATTTGGTTCATAAGCCTCTACGTCCGCCCTTGACCGTAGAACAAGCAAGATCATTAACGAAGTTCAAGTGGAGGACACAGCATAAGCAAACAACACAACTTCCAGTCTCGCACAAGGATGTCATATGAATGATGCATTTTTCCTAGCCAGCAAAACAGAGCCATGTGCATGAAATTGGTGAATGGTTGTATAACAACAAGAGCACTTGAGACCTTCAGATGGAACAAAAGTCAATATATGTTACAAAAAGTGATTGTAAACTTCACAGGAACGTCTCGGAGAAGGAAAACAAAAACAGAATGGAAAATACTGTTGAAACTCGAATGTTTCTGCACAAAGCCAAGCATAAAAGGAAAAAGAATGCTTAAATAAGAGGACATATAAAGTATGAAAAAAGAAAAAAAGATATGGCATCAACAACTCAAAAAATAAAAACATGGATTGCTGGCCATTGAGCAATCAGGCTTCTGCCTTCTATGTATCAGGAAACTTACAATGACGTATGTACTAGTTCAAAATTACTCATTTGTCATCTTCCGCCAGACAACTCAACAGCATCCTGATTAAAGATTGAATCTTCTCCCCAATCAAATCGTCTTTGAAGTCTCTCATATTCTTGCCTACGGTTGACTTCAACGTGCTGCCACTCTTCCCATCTCTCGGCAAGCCCTTCTCCTTCCAGCATCCTTACCACCTCCGACATTGCTGGATGTTCCTCTGGTGAGGGCTGAGTGCACAGCAATGCCACCTGAATCATCATCTCCACTTCATCCATGTCGTAGTTCTTATTCAGGTTCCGGTCTACAATAGCATCCAGTCTTTTCTCCCTTTGCAGTTTTTTGACCTTCAAGACGGTATACATGCTGTACTTTTAGCAACTAATACTACATAAGGTTCTATGAAGCCTAAAGTTAAAGAAAGACTATAATGTAAAGTTATAAAAGAGAGGCTCGAGGTCCACATCTGAGACATCCACACTTTAATTTTTTTCTGTCATCTAGTCATTTTTCTCCTTTATTTCTTCTCAATTCCGTCTAGAGTCAAAAGGCCTCAAGTATTAAGACCTAGTTGACATTCAAAGTATTTCTATCCTGCCGAAACATGAAAAATGAGAACTGCTTGTGACCCTTTGAAGTGAAAAATAAAATTATCACATCTACACCAATAGACAGAAAAGAAAGTTTATCATCAGGAGGGTCTCTTGCAAAGGACAAATGAGCCGTCCCAGCAGAATATAGAGACAAAGAACTGAAGTTTGATCAGCAGAGATAATATATAAAAATAAAAAGCACTAATTTGATATCCATTTGGAATGATACAAAGATCATCGAGTTCGGTACACTCACATGGTCAAGCAACAAAACATCATCTTCTTCTTCTAGGCGTGAGAAGTCTATTGCACGTTGGCCAGTAACAAGCTCCAAAAGCATGATCCCATAGCCAAAAACATCTGTTTTTTCTGATGATTTGCCAGTGGATAAGTATTCAGGAGCTATATGGCCCATTGTACCACGAACTTGAGTTGTCACATTGGTTTTGTTAATGTCAACTAACTTTGCCAAGCCAAAATCACCAACTACAGCTTCAAAATCCTCATCTAGTAATACATTAGCTGCTTTAACATCACGGTGAATAATCTTTGGATTACAGTGTTCATGTAGGTATTCAAGTCCACATGCAGTGCCCAGTGCCACACGCTTCCTAGTTGGCCAAACCAAAACAGACTCCCCAGGTTTAAGTTCTGCGAGTGATTAAAATCTAAAATAAGAAGCTGCTGAAAACTACTAAGAATCATCACTTCAGTAGAAAACTGCTAAAAGTTTCATGAAACTCCTCTCAGTTCACACAAGGATTTAAAAAACCAACTTCCGTAGGGAAAATCAATCGACGCAGCAAATCTCTTTCTGGTGGAGAGAATGCACAAGAATCAATTTATAAACTCGGATATCATCTTATACTATTAAGTGCCCATTGATGAGGTCTATTCGACTATTGAGCTTGAAGACTAAAGAAAATCGAAATGTCCAAAATCTCAACTCCTTTAATGAATATCAGAAGTGCTTCTACAATGCCAATGCAGTAAACTCATCTGATCGGAACCTGTCTTTCCCTACCTTTCTCTGGGAAAAAGGAAGCATGCAAATTGTACTCATGGTAATGCAACCTAAGGGCACTAAACTTCCAACACTTTTCCAGAGTCTAAAGAGAGATTCTTTTTTTCAAATATGAAAATGCAAACTATAAGAGCAGATGCTTCTGCCCATTAAGCATGCCACTTATACTTGATGCCTTGTCAAGTCATTCACTAGCATCAGCAATTCTAAATTACTTTAATAGCCAGTTTAAACCGTAACGACAAAAGAACGCCTTCTTTTCACAGCTTGAGAGGAAGAAAATGGTGCACGACTGCTTACAACCCAGCTGACAAAAACAAAATTTGTGCTGCAGGACAAGTAAGACCACCGAAATAAAGAATGTAATAACTGAGATGAATAGGCAAAGCTAGGGAAAATGTACTATTTGGGACATTAAAAAAGTACGGTGACTAACAATTAAGCACTACTCAGAAGGGACAATACCTCGTAGACGATAAGCAACACTTAGATTCTGCATATATGGATATACTAGCAGCCGTTCAGTCGGTGTGGTGCAAAACCCTATAAGCCGTAAGAGGTTCCTATGAACAGCCACGCTTATCATCTCAACTTCTCGCTGGAATGCAGCATCTCCCCCAGGGCTCTCATAATCAGCTAATCGTTTCACGGCAACTTTAGTGCCGTCATTGAGCACTCCTTTATAGACCTTGCCAAAACCTCCTTGTCCAAGAACATTCTTTTCACTAAAGTTATCAGTAGCAAGCTGCAATTCCCTCCATGAAAATCTCCTCAATTGACCAAATGGAATTCGTCGATCAACCTCACCTGAGTCCGCCAAATAAAACGCAAGAAATAATCATAATATATTCAAAGGAGCCACACCATCTTGAAGGTAGATCAAAACTAAGTACTGGTGGATAAGAACTAAGCTCACTAACTTAAAATGGAATTACAAGATATAACAATGCATGGCCACAATACCCTATGGCCACAATACCCTTCTATTTTTAGCAGATAACAAGTATATTATACCAATGAAATTATTGTCAAAAGCAAGTGACACAAACCTACAACGTCAACAAAGATTTCACGCCTATAGCCTTTGTGCCTTCTCCTCCAGAACAATAACACAGATCCTCCAAGAAGGAGAATTCCAAGAAATCCACCAGCAATACCAACTACGAGACCAATCTTTGGTTTACTAGGAGAACCTGCAAGAAATTCAACTTCAGAATTTTGCTTGTCCAGTAAGGTTTAAGAAGGTGCATATGTTAAATCATAAATGACAGTTTTCTTACTAAAGGAATATTATTACATTGGATAGGCAATCAGCAGCTTTATCGACTTCAGAAACTTTCTGATGTAGTGCTAAAAGGAGAGAGAATTGAGTGTGATGAATAAGAGAAAAAGAAAGAATGGAAAGAGGAAAAGGGGATGAGAGATAATTTTTTTTATCAACAATATTTATTCATCAAGTGTTGTTCCAAGCAAAGTACATAAGGGCCCTATTTATAAATTAGGGAACCCTCACATGCTACAACTCTTAAAATTATAAAAATCCTTTTTTCAATCGTTACAACTCCTAAAATTATTAAAATTCTATGTCTAACTATAAGATAATATTATCTCTTAAATATTGATATAACCTTATCATTAACTAAATCAACAATAACGTAGTAATAGTGCTGGATTTTTCAACTACTTCACTGTCCCTCAGTTGAGTGAGACTATTACAACTCTCGAAGATTAGCAGTAATGGAAAGAAACTCATCCGTTTTAGTCCCGGCAGTACCATGAGGTGGTTGATTCTTCCATTCATTAAATATGGTACCAGTACAAACCACCAATTCAACACAACAAACATATCCCGCAATCAATGGCAAGTATAACACTAAACATTTATTCCTGTTCCGCATTTGTATATAAAGAGGAAATGAATTGAGACTTTGGGAGATAGATATGGGATAACTTTTCGTTTGGTAGAAATTCTGAATAGTTTTTCTTTCGATAGGTTTTATGAATGCGATACAGTGTAAGGAACCAAAGCTCGAGTTCCGATACCCGTACTGATGTACCACCAAAGAAAGGGGAAGGGAGAATGACAAGTGAAAGAAATGAGAAAGGGGAAAAAGAGATAAGAACGAGAGAAAATATAGATGATATGGTAAGGAAATTAACAGTATCTATTCATCATAGTGTTGTTCCAAACAAAGTACATAATTATCCCATAAATAGATTATGAAACCCCGAACAAGCTAGAACTCTTGGAAGTACTAAAGGTTCTACTCTAACAAAAATGAGACAAATTCTAAACTAGTAGATAAAGCCTTATGACTAGATAAAAGATAAATGAAAGTAAAACCACAGATAATGGGAGTAAAATGCTACATTTTTCAGCCACATCTTTCATTCTCCAGAATGCAAAGAAGCATAAAGCATATATATCTGACTAACAAACATCTCCAGCAGAGCTAATTTCTATATGTAAGACTAGTAAGTCAAATGAAACAGTTACATATTTGATCGTAGAATTTACCTCCACTATCAGATTCACAATGATGACTGAAATTTAAGCCACAATTCAAACGATTCCCTGTAAAACTAGAATAACCAAATTATGTTAAACATAAATTAAAGATAATGAATTAGTAGACAAGGCAGTAACTAAGCAGCCTTGATCGACTGTTCAAAGCAAAAAAACTGCAATCATATAGTATTAGGTGCCATTGTTATTACTACAAGGTATGCATACTTGTATTTTGGAACTTGAAACAACTGTTCAGGAACTTGACCAGTAAGACCATTGGAAGCAAGCTGACTGCAAAGCAAATCAGTGAAGCAAGTGAAGCATTGAATGATACAGGATAAGGATCACTGAAGTTGTTAATTGACATCCCAAAATAAAAGCATCACTCTATACATGGAGTGAAGAAGTAAAGATAAATCACTTACAGGCTCATCAAGTTCTGGAGGCTTGAAACTGACTGAGGGATTGTCCCTGTGAGATTGTTTTGAGTCAAAAACCTGCTCAATAAAAAATAAAAATAAAAAGAGAGTTCATTCCTATTCCAAAACACCAATTAAACTATCTTCTATCCAACAACAACCAAATTAAATAATATGACTTCCAGAGACTGAAGCTTTTTGAGATTTCCCAGGGAAGCTGGTATTTCTCCATACAGACGGTTATTCTCTAAATTTAACATTGTCAAACTTGTTAAATTTCCTATCGCTTCTGGAATCTTACCGGTTATACCGTTTCCTTGCAAAGACCTGCAGGGGTGTACACGACACAGCCAGCTAGGTTATAGCAGAGGAATTGTCCCAAATATTCTAGTCGTGAATCTAACAATATTGAGCTCAACAAGACAACAACATATTCACCAATGAAAATTAAACAAGAGCTACATCTTTTTTTTTATAACCGTGGTGTCCGGGCCAGCTTGCGCGTACCTCGACCAATTCCACGGGATACCTGCCACCTCCCACCAACAACAGGTACTAGGTAACTCTATCCACTAAGGCTTGGATAGATGGGAAGAAATCACCTAGTGTTTTTTTGCCTCCGCTGGGATTTGAACCTGAGACCTTATGGTTCTCACCCACTTCATTGACCACTAGGCCACACCCTTGGGTGCAAGAGCTACATCTTATACAAACGTGTCCTTCCATATAGTTACACATTTAACTTATTGAGTTGAAAAATATACAAGTCAAATACTAAAATGGGGCTCTTGGAAGCATCCAAAGTGCAAAGACAATTTGAAAGAACGACCGTTCAGAGAAAAAGGCAAGGCCACCCATACTGAGGATCAACTTTGTATAGTTCACATGCCTTGTCTTCGTGAAATGGCTGAGATTGCTCCTTGTCCAAAGGAACCAGCAGTCGAAGTATAGAGACCTTGTTAAAGAAAAGACACCAACTAGTTACCACAAGAAGAAAGACAGCCATCCGGACAGAGAGTCCCATTTGCTAGACCAGTTCAAATAACTTCCACCTCTCTATTAAGTTGTTTCCCTTTGTGAAATGGCCAAATATTTCTCTTTCTCCATTGATAACACCACAATATGTAGGTAACCTTTTGTCTTTCTTTTTTCCCCTTCCGATAAGTAAAGCTATCTTGAAATTATTGTTCATCTATGTCCTCAACTTTTAGTTAAAATTTGATTATGATCCAAGATCAAGAAGGACAAGAAATTCAAGAATCCATTCAAGATTAGGATTTCTTTTCCTTAAAGATTAGGATTTTTTATTTCTTATTTCCTAGTAATTTAATTTTTGTTTTAGTAGGATTATATTTGTAGTTCTAGACAAACTAGGATTGTTAGTTGGTAAGCCTTATTCTTATTCTAGTTTAATTAGGATTAGTTTTCCTTAACCTTATCAATTTTACTCATTGTAAGGCCTATTTGAAGGGCTCAATATGCTGAAAATAAAGAGGGGGGTGATTAGTTTCTTTGAGCATTAGCTTCAAAAACGTGATTGACTCTTTCGTTTCCTCTTCTTTGCTTAATCAACGTTTCTTGCAATCTTGCTGGATTGAGGAACGTGAAGGTGAGGTTTCTTTTCATATACATTCTTCTAACGTGAGTTTGAAGAACGCTTTCGCTAGTTTTGTGAAAAACTTTAGTGGAGTGCTTTTGTTTTTCTATCTTCTTAACTTCTTTGTGCTTGAGAGGTGCAAAACCTCAAAAGTACATCAGATTATCAGAAGGGAATTTTGTTCTTGTGCAATGTCGATGACATCGAACAAATACATTTAGAAACAATATTGAATATAAAATATTTTCAAAATTGCAACAAATAGCATCTAGAAAATTATATGTGCTTAGAATTCAAGCCAACATTCTGTCAACAATAACTCAACTGCAGTTCTTTATACATACAATGTATTCACATTCTTTAGAACACCTAATCTGGGAGTTAAAATGCCCGAGAATCCCATATTTGACAATGACCTGCAAACAAAAATCAGACACTATAAAAAATCACATCCAGGAAAAAAAGTTGGGCAACCAAAGATCAACCTTTCTAAAACATAAAAACTATAAAATGATACTACTATTCACAAGGCGATTCTAATGGCTCTAACAATAGAACTTACACCATGATGACATTGCCTTTATCATCACAAGTAATTTTGGACCAAATGCAAGGACTAACTTGATACTGATTCCAATCAGCAAGCTGATCATTTGAAGCATTAAGTGAATTCTTCAGTGCAAACAGGGCATCTCCTAAAATGGGCCAGAGATCACAAAGAACTGAATGTCACACTACTTTATTAGGAGAACAAAGAAAACATTCCATCGGCAGAAGCAAAATGTAAACAGAACATAAGCAAGAAAATGAAATAAGATATATTAGTTCCATCTGAGTTTCTCTTGATCCATTTGAGTATATAAAAGATGATGAAGTAAAAATGGAAGAATCGTGTACCTTGTCCATCAGGTAAAGCGAATGAGTGGAGACATGCTAATATCACAATTGCAAAGAACAGTTCCATCTTTCAAATATTGCACTTCATGTCAAGTACCGTTGTTGCAATTTACCACTGCGACATAAGACACCATCTTCCATGAACAGGTGCCTATAAAACATCAAAGGTTAATAAGGGGAAATCGGTAAAAGCTGAAAGGCAACATTTAAGCTTAATTAGATACAAAAAGAAAACAATCTGATCCTCAGATTCGTAATAGCAGTATATGGTGTTACAGCAGGCAATGATGCAGGAGGCTAAATCAGTATACTAACCAAAACATTAGTCCTTTCTACTAAACATGCCAATCATTCCAAGAAACTTAGTGGTTGTGATTTATCACTGTGAGAAGCACTTCCTTACTTGCACATCGGACATGTACAGATCGCTAGGAGGGCAAAAAATTCATCAGATGAAGCTAAGGAAGCGCTGCTCCATAAGTCTTTCTTTCCTCAAAGCATAGCAATTGAGATATGAATCATTTTAAAAGCTTAGCAATTGAGATATGAATCATTTTAAAAGCTTAGGCAATTGGTAAATGTTTGAGATTAAAAAAAATTTTAAAAATTCTAATGAAGCAAGAAAGATTACGAATTAATTTAAAATCAGCTTTCTTCAACTCAGCTACACCAAATGCATTGAAAATAGTAAATAAATAAGTACTAATTCAAACACACGCACAAACACGTTTACCCAAAATTTCGAGCAGAACTCAACTCCCTTTTCAGTCCAATACACCACACACAAAAACAAAAAATTAGACTATATGACGAAATCAAGAACAAATTCACAATTCCATTACTCACTTTTCCTTACAACAAACTGAATTTTCATTGTTAATTCAGAGTTACATAAGGAAACCACCATAGAACACCATTTCTTAGTATTCCTAGACAAGTAAAAGGATAAAAAGCTAATCTTTTGAATTAAAAAATAAAAAAAGAATTACAACAACAAGAATAAGGAGGAGGAAATGGGGAAAGTACCTTTAAAGAAGAACCAAACTATAGGACTTTGAAAATGTGAAAGAAAGAGGAGAAGCAGAATATATGTACTTTTGAATCAAAGCAAATCTTAAAAAGAAGCTTCTTCCTCCTTTTCCCATTTTATTGACTCTTCCACTTTAATAGGTACGACTATTATTACTATGAAGAAACTTTAGGTAAAAAAACAAAGTTGTATCTCTATTCTTTTTTTTTTAGGATTATTGTTATGAAATATAGTTCAAAGTAACAATATAGAACTAAGTAAAAATAAGTTAAGAGAGAGAAAGAGAGAAGAGATTTTTATTTCTTCTTCAATTGTGTTTATTTTCCTATCTATTACAAGGCCTTTATATAGGCATAAAAAGTAAAAAAAAATATATCATTGAATATGTCATTAAGCATAGAAATATATCATTGAATATGACATTAAGCATTTGAGAAGATCATGGAGGAAGAGTAGACATCCACCATAATTTGATTTTTCTTATAACATTCCTCCTTGGATATCCATAGATAATGTGCCTCGTTAAAACCTTATTAGGAAAAACCCTATAGGAAAAAAATCCTAGTGAAGGAAAAAGAGTACATATGTTTAGAAATACGCCTTTTGGTTGTCTCGTTAAGAACCTTGCAAGAAAAACCAGTGGGACAAAATCTTGTAAGGAAAAAAGAGTACAACGCGTATTAACTCCCCCTTATGAGAGCATCAATTCACATCCTTGAGCCTTCGCATTCCAATCTTGTACACTAGTTTATTGAAGGTTGATGTCGGTAGAGATTTGGTAAACAAATCAGTCATATTACCACTTGAACGGATCTGTTGCACATTGATATTACCATTCTTTTTGAAGATCATGTGTGAAAAATAACTTTGGTAAAATGTGCTTTGTCCTATCCCTTTTATGAATCCTCCCTTCAATTGGGTTATGCATGCTGCATTGTCTTCATACAAAATTATGGATAGTTTGTCACACTTCAAACCACATTTGTCTCTCGAATAAGGTGGATTATAGACTTCAACCATATACATTCTCGACTTGATTCATAAATAGCGATTATCTCAGCATGATTAGATGAAGTAGCCACGATTGATTGCTTAGTTGATCGCCAAGATATGGCAGTGCCTCCATATGTAAACACATAGCCTGTTTGAGATCGAGTCTTGTGTGGGTCAGATAAATACCCAACATCGGCATAACCAACAAGATCGGGACTGCAATCATTGCCATAAAATAATCCCATATCGGTAGTCCCTTTTAGATACCGCAATATGTGTTTGATTCCATTCCAATGTCTCCTTGTAGGAGCAGAGCTATATCTTGTTAAGACATTAACTGAAAAAGTTATGTCAGACCTTGTAATGTTAGAATCTACATTAATGCACCAATTGCACTAAGATATGGTACTTCGAGACCAAGAAGCTCTTCATTATTTTTATGAGGTCGGAATGGATCTTTATTTATATCGAGTGATCTCGCAACCATCGAAGTACTTAATGGATGTGCTTTATCCATATACAATCGCTTTAAAATTTTTTTAGTGTATACTGATTGATGGACAAAAATTCCATCTTTCATATACTCAATTTGTAGACCAAGACAAAATTTTGTCTTTCCAAGATCTTTCATTTCAAATTCTTTCTTTAAATAGTCTACTGCTTTAGGAAGCTCATTAAGAGTTCCAATGATATTTAAATCATCAACATACACGACGATTATAATAAATTTAGATCCAGATCTTTTTATAAAGATACAAGGACAAATTGAATCATTCTTGTACCCTTCTTTCAACAAGTACTCACTCAGGCGATTATACCACATGCGCCCTGATTGTTTTAATCGGTATAAGGATTTTTGAAGTTTTATTTAATAAATTTCTTGAAAACCTTAATATTCTTCAGAACAATTTAAATCCTTCAATGATTTTCATTATACGCATATCACGTTTTTCTTGTATTGTCAGATTAAAACCTGAAATGACGACATCCACCACAGGAGGACATGTCTCTATATAATCAATGCCAGGATATTTACAAATCTTCTTGTGACACAAGTCGTCTTTATGTCTATCGACTTACCTTTTTTTCCGCACAAGAACATATTTATCCTCCACTGACTTTATACTTTCAGGTGTTGGGACTATCCGTCCAACTTCATATATTTCTGGTGAAATCAATTTTTATTGTGTATTTTTCATTTGGCCAATCATTTATCTGTGCAAATTTCATGACAGATTTGAGCTCAAGATCCTCGTAAATATTAATAATATTGAGCGCTGCATTATATTAACAATATCGTCGACGATCATTTTATATCGGTTCTACTATTATCCAATAAAGACATAACTTATTGAGATCTCTTTACGATAATTGTAAAAGCAAAAACCTCCAACATAGAATATTGAAAGATTTTTTAACTTTTAAACATAAATTTCACATATACAATTATAATTTAATTATTTTTCTAATATTTAAGACTTTAAAATTAACTATTCTATATTTATGGTTTAAAATGTAGCTGGTGTATTCTACTTTTGTAATGTAATTTTTTTTTTAATATAACAGGAATAATACCATATTGTATTTTTTATTGATTAAAAAATAGAACAACTTGCATTTTGCTTGCGAGAAAGAAAAAAACCATCTTATGTTAGTTAGCTGACTGCGTCTGTATCCTCTAAAATGAACTTAAAAATAAAAATATAAATAAAGAACGAAGTTGAAAATAGCTCCAAAAAAATAAAAAAGCTTTTAAATCTTCAAAGTCTATATGTTTTACTCTTAATATTTACGTAATGTTTTAAACAAACTCACATCGAGATTGGTGCACGCGCACGAAGGTCCTTAGCGAAATATCGTTCATATTTTTCACCCTTTTAAAATAGAGTTCACATATAACAAAATAGTCATTCAATTATTTGCCTAATATTTAGGACTTCAAAATTAGCTAAATATTTCCCATTAATTCATTCCTTATTTAAACTAAGTAGGAAGCCTCAATATATTAGGGCATCATATTCTGATATCTTTTTACTTATTTTGAGCAACATTCTATACGTCCATTATTCTTAATTTTTATGCAGTTATTATATACTTTATATAGGAGAAAAATAAAATCAGAGGTTTTTTCCCAACAATGAAACTCCACGACAAAGAGTTGTGTAATTTCGTGTTTTGTCTTTGTATTTTAATTAAGAAGAGTTTTGCCTCTTAATTTATTGTCCTTCCCAATGAAAGTATTTGTTGGTCTTAAAATTTAATTCGATACGTATTTATTTATTTGATTATTTGTTTATGTTTATATATTAAATTCTTTCTTATTTAAACTATATAGTGGTATAAAAGATTTTTAGTAGAAAAATCAAAATAATTTTAACCGATTAATTTTAGGTGAAGATTTGGAGTATTTTAGTCTTTTTTATCCTTTAAAAATAAATTTCATACTCGGAAAAATAGTCATAATAATTATTTTTCTCATATCTAGGAATAAACATTTAATTATTTTTCTAATATTTAAGACTTTGAATGCTTTCTTATTTAAATTGTATAAAGTATCTATAACTCAATCAATCGTTATTCTCTTGAATTACTTTTTAACAATTAGTCAAACCATATTGACGTGCATGCAGCTAAAACAAATCTATCTATATTATATTAAAAGCACGAAGACTTTTAGCGAATGTCATTCCCCTTTTTTACTCTTTAAAAAAAGCTTTTATAAAGGATAAATTTGTAACTTAAGTTAGTTTTTTAATATTTAGGATTTTAAAATCTATTAAATTTTGCATATTAAATATTTATTTATTAAAATAGGTAAGAAGTCATAATATGTAGGAATTCAAAATCAATAAATATTTTACTTTATACAAATTGTAATTGACAATACATCCTTTGTGTAATAATTATGGAATCAGGATGAGAACAATGGTGGCTTCACTTTATTTCTAATTACAATTTTGAAATATAGGGACATAAAATCACATATTAAATTGAAAATGTTTAATAAAATAACGTCTAAATTAAAATTATTTCAACGCGAAACAATTAAATATGTATTTTAAAAATTCTTATTTTAATCATACAAAGTAATTAATCCATGTTTAATCAAGCACCAAAAATAATTATATGATGTCATATTTAGTTATAATAAACCGTACAAGCCTAAATTTATATTAAAAAAGGACGAAACTTCTACATGAAATGTTAATTGGCTTTTTATTCTTTAAAAATCATTTTTTTATTGAACAAAAACGTAGTGTAAATATTTTACTAATATTCAAGATTTTAAAATCAATTAAGGTTTTGCATATTAATATTTTTCGTATTTAAACTATGTAGGAAGTCCAAACATTTAGGACTTTAAAATAAATTAGATATAAAAAATCAAAATTAATATGATTACATAGAGTTAGTTAATTTAATAACTTTTATAGTAATTTGTTCACCCTATTAAATATTCATGATTTAGTAATATTTTCTTTGCTTAGCACATTTCGACAAAGTTATGTAAATCATCATTTTCTTTTATTTCAATAATTAAAACCTCACTAAATGGGTAATATCGAAACCTTTGAAGAGAGATAAACTAAGAAGACATAAATTTGATAAATCTTTAAGAATCGTAATAAAAGCTTATGTGTATCAGAAAAATTCTTAAATATTAAATCTTTAAGGGCTATATGCTTTTACTGAAACTAAAAAGAAAGCACGATAACTTGTGAAATTGAACATATGAATTTATAATATTAAACATAATCTAAGAAAAATATATTGAATAATGACTGAAGAGTTTCACGGATAATTTTTTTTATTGAGTTAGTCAATATGCATCAATTTCATAAGCTTACACTTTATTTTATGACTCAAAAAGGCTAATTAAGAAGCTTAAACTAATTGCAATGATCCGGCCGGTCGTTTTGAGTGTTATAATTCCATTCCCCCATTTAATACTTATTATGTGCTCAATTGTTGTTATGTGACTTGTCGGGGTGGTTGGTTCGGTTTCGGGGATGTTTCGGAATGAATTAGGACACTTAGTCCCAAGATTGGAAGTTTAAGTTGAAAGAGTTGATCGGATGTTGACTAATGTGTAAACAACTCCGGAATAGAAT